AGAAATAACAAATAAATAATGTTCCCTCCAAAATGAGACAATGCCTCCTTTATTTCCCTACCCCACCCCCACCTCACAGATGTGCAAAGCCGTTCAGTGTGACAACACTGCCCCCCAGGTGTAAAAAGAACAGAGGGGAGGCATCTACTTAACTTTCCCAGGAGATTCTTCCATTCAAGACTGGTAAGTGGGGCTGAGAAGAAATGAAGGTTCTCCAGGGGATCTAAGCAGGTCTATTGTATTGTATTGTATTGTAAACTTTATTGTCATTGTACCTCATACAACGAAATTAAATGCCATCCCCAGTGCACCTTATACTGTAAATATAAAACCATAAAAAACATACATCCTTCACATTCTATTCACCCTTGGACAACCCCTGAGGTCTAGGGAGAAATCGAAAGCTGGTCTTCTGTTACCTGAGAGGAAATCCCTTTTGAAGGGTTAGTAATGACAGAGTGTATTTTCTGTGGTCAGGGGATTCTTATTTCTTTCCTACATATCTCATCAAATCATGGAAGAAATGAGTTGGGAAAAGACCCCTAGATCATCTAGTGGAAACCGCCCCTAAGAGGTGACCTGTCTGCATATCTCCAAGCAAAAGAGGCTGTTGTGGACATATCTAAGTGGGGCTGCCTGTTCTTCCCTCACCCTCCTTTTTCTCTAGGCAGACAGGCTAAACAGGGTGGATCATTTGTCACTATCTGCTCTGTTCCATTTTTGTTTTCTTTTGATAAGTAATAATTCTTATCATTACTCATCCATCTTCCATCATTAATGTAAAAGGAATGAAACAGGAGCAACAGGTAGAAATAGTTAAACTGAGGAGTGTTGGTGATATGAGGGAATGAAAAAGGATTGGACTGCAAACATCTTATACAAAGGAAGAAATATAGGCAATGAAATCACAACGATCTCTAATGAGATTTTAATTACAAAAAAAAAAAAAACTTTCTAATTTATACTACTGCCATTACAATTCCTTCCTGTCTGCCAATATTGTGCTAACTAGGTTCGTGCTCCTTTCTCCAAAATCAGTTCTGGAGTCCCACATTCTGTCATGTGGATTTATCTGCTGTTTCTCAGTTCTAAGAGAAAAATTCAACATTCTGTGACTGAATCATCTTGGAGAGCTGCTCAGAGGAAGTGAAATTCCTGCTTGGCTTCAGATTCACTTCCTCTCACTTTGGCTCTCACACAGTAATAGACCACTGTGTCTTCTGGCTTCAGGCTGTTCATTTGCAGATACAGCTGGCTGCAGGAATCGTCCCTGGAGATGGTGAACCATCCCTTGATTTTTCTAAGTAATAAATAGAAATTGAGGATGTATCTATCCGTGCAACCCATTCCAGTCCTTTGCCTGGATACTGCCTCACCCAGCTCATGGTACAGCTGCTGAAGGCGAATCCAGAGGCTTGGCAGGAGAGACAGAGGGAATCTGCAGGTCTTCTCAGATCCCATCCAGACTCTACCAACTGGACGTCACATTAGACACCTAGAAAGAAAGTATTTTAATTCTTTAATTCTTCTGCATACAAGAAGGGAGAAAAAAAATGGAAGGAAATTCTACAGAGAAGGAAGAATTACCTCTGAGGACTGCTAATAATGACACCAGGTTTAGCCACAGGATCATTTTTCCTCCCTCAAATGAATGGAGGGAAATTGATAAGAAAAGGATTCAGGAAAGTGCACAGACTTTGTGTTGATGGGTGTGGTCTGGCAAGGGGAACCATCTGGCTCCTTTAAAGGGGGAACTCTTCCCTCATTTACATATCACTTGGGATAAAAGAGCCCCTCAGGGGATTGATCTCATAGATAACTTAGCACATAACTTACATCTGTGATTTTCAAATCATATTCCAGTCCTAAGAAAAGGAAGGGCAGGCTTTTTTTCCCCCTTTGAGTTCATAGGAGAAAGGGGTGTTTTGCATTAGAGCAAGTAGAAGAAAGACATGCAAAATCTCACCATTTGTCAAAAGTGATTCAAGGTTAAAAGGTAAGCCCATCTACGTTAGGAGGTTTGCTACATTAATGTTTCCTTAATGTTTGTTTGTTTTTTGCCAAACCCCAAATGCATTAAGTGGCAATTAATCCTTGAGGAATAATTTGTAAGCCACCATTGTTGGGGCCACACAACTCAAAAAATCAGACTCAAATCATTTTATGACCAAATACACTCTCTTGGTTGAATGAGAAACATAAATAACTTCCTTTGTATTCTCCAAAACAGTTTCTTCAATATTGAAGAAAGTGTGTCTGTTTTTAACTTAGACATGGCTTCACAGTGAGAATTATATTCTCCTGAGAAATTAAATTCATTAGAGATCCTCTGAGGAAACTTTGAAGCAAGTAACAGAAGATACAATCAACCACAGAAATGAGACCATATTTGTGCATGCTGGTTCTATTTCCTTTCCCATTTCTCCCCCTTTGGGAAAACTGCCTCCTGGTGCAAGGGAGGAGGGAGTCATCTAATTCCCCAAGGAGATTCTAGTGTTCTGGAGGGGGAAGCGCAACTGAGAACAAATGAAGGATCTCCAGGGGATTTAGAAACCCAAAGCTGCTGTTCTCTTCCCTGCTACAAAATCAATTTGAAGATTTAGTCTATGACTGGTTGCATTTGGTAGGAGTGGGAGTTTGAGTTTTTATCTCACTTATGTCTTGGTAACCTCATTGCTTCACTACTGAAAGACATGCTATATGGGGCTGCCCTTGAAGACCACCTTGAAGCTTCAATTGGTCCAGAATGCAGTGGTGCAGGCAGTGATGGCCTTCCCTCAGAATGCCCATGTAATACCTCTGCTTCGCAAGCTGCACTGTTTGCCAGTTTGATTCCAGGTGTGATTCAAAGCGCTGGTAATTCCCTATAAAGCCCTACATGGCTTTGGGCCTAGATACTTGAAGGACCACCTGTCTCCCATAGTGTCTGCCTGGCTGATCTGATCTGGCAGGGTTATCCTTCTCAGGGATCCTTTGATTGAACAAGGCCATCTGTGAGGGTCCCAGAAGTGCACCACCTCTGTCACAGCACCTGCCCTCTGGAATGAGGGTGCCCCTGAGAGTCAATTGGCCCCCACCCTACTGGCCCTTCAAAGGTCCCTGAAGACCCAGCTTTTCACCCAGGTCTTTGGCAAGAGTGATTGAAGCCCCCTATTCTTCTTTTTATTTGCTTCCTTCTGGGTGTCTTATCTCAGCCATCTTTGTTGTATTTTGTTTTATGTTCTTTTCCATTTTAATATTTTTAACAATTTGTAAACTGCCCAGAGTTGCTATGAGTTGGGTAGGTTGTTGTTTTATTGTTGTTGTTGTTGTTATTATTATTTTTATTATTATTATTATTATTCCTAATGAAATCATGAAATAAATGAGATGGGGAGGACCTTCTACGTCATTTAGTAAAAACCTTCCAAACCAGGTGGCTAGCCAGGATCGCTCTGCAAACCTCCAACTAAGAGACGCTGTTCTAGACAGAATGAGGAAAGGCCGCCCTATTCTTCCCTCATCCTAGGTTTGCTCTAGTCAGACAGGTTTTGATGGGTATCTGAGTTATCCCAATCTGTTTGGTACTAGTGTGTTTCCTTTGGACAGGGGAGTGATTGTCTCTTGTCCATCTTCAATCATTCATTTCCTTTGGATGACAGAGGTTTTCATGAGTAGGAGACTTGGAGGAAAAATAATTTTGTCTTCGACTTCAGTTACTTTTCTGTATTTATTCAAAATCTACTCCAGTTTTCCTAAACAGAGTTCCCTCCC